ATCCTGTGGTTCTCAACGCTGTTTCCAGCACAAATTCAAACCATAGCCCCATACCAGCTGCTGTAGAGAAAATTAACTCTACCCCAGCCCAAACCAGCAGAGTTACGGAAAATGCAGAACTTCAATAGCATCCGAGAGCTTTCCAGGTCTGCACAAAGTCATTAAGAAGCGATCAAAGTGGGAACACTCATTCGAACAAGGTTCACAGACAGAAACCCAATGAGGTCATAGTGTTACAAACACTATGAGAGAGGGGGGTGTCACTTGGACCAAACCAGGTGTTGAAGACTTCTGGGCTTGTACCATGGTCTCCAGCAGAGGACACCCAGATCTTTCCTCACTTCGGTCTCCAAACTGGGGTGTGCAAGACAATCCATTGGGATGCAGGAAGGAAATAGCTGAACTTCTATTTATTTTCATTTTATGTATGAGAAAATATACGGCAATAGTATAATCTCAACAGCAAATGACTTCTTTAGAACACATTGGAATGAGACAGGGAGCCACCATGAAAATCTCTCGTAGCACACGGAGATTTGCTGCTTACCTCGCTGCAAAGGGCTTAGAAGAGCTGCTGAACTTGGAGTTTTATTTCACAAAAAGACAAGCGCTGCAAGCTTGACAATGACCAGTTGCTGTCCATAGCATGCTACCTAGCAGATATCGTCCAAAAAACAAATACACCTCAGGTCTGGGGCACTTTGATGCCCAGCGCTGCAGCCTTCCCCAACCCTTCCCGGGCACCGGCTCGCAAGGGCACCGGGACGCAGCACTGCCCTAGCAGGACATCCCAAATGCAAATCCACTTGGATTCACTTCTGGGCTCAGAACAGCTCTCGCCATGAAAAGAAAACTGGGCTTTTTAGCAATTTCTTCTGTCTCCCACTTCCTGTTGGCAGATGGGCACCACGCTGTGATGTCACCATGATGCACACAGGTGATGTTGAGGAACTTCCTAGCAGCCGGTGCCACAGCCCTTCATTTTCCTGACCTGCAGGACCAAGCCTGGCCAGTCGGAGAAAGGGCCACGGCTGGAAATTGCAGCCAAGCTGGGGAAAAAGAAGATAAAATGGAGCTGCCTTCACCAGGGACATCCTTGGCCTCCAACCCCGAGCAGCCAGGCTGGTGGGAGGCTTCAGCTTCTACTGACCATCCAGGAGCTGATACGGGAACAGCCTGGGATGCTGCCACTGGGCCTCTTGCAGAAGAAAACGCCTTCCAAGGTTCACCTGATGAATCCTGGGCCCCCACCACAAGCTGTCATTTCTGGGAGGAGATCTCTGCCACCCCCAGCCAGTCTTCAGCCTGCTCCTTCCCCAGGAAGCTCTGGGAGATCACCAGCAGCCATTACTTCCACTCAGTCTGGTGGGGCAATGATGGAAACTGCAACGTGATCAGAGAAAAACTCTTCAGGAAGGAAGTGCTGGGGAGGAGGGGACCCCAGAAGATCTTTGCAACAGAATCCATGGGGAGCTTCATTCTCCAACTTAACCTCCACGGCTTCTGCAGAATGGAAGGCGACTCTCTCCCATCTGCCTCCATCACAAAGCTGCAAGCAGCAGCAGG